ACATTTCCCACTTTCTTAATCTCCGTGTCCAGTCAAAACCGAAGTTAATTCTGGGACGGAGGGAGTATTTGGTATGATTTGGGTAAACGGTTACCCGTGGATAAACCGATACCATGTTGGGGCGAATAAAGTTCAAATAAAAATTACCCAAACAGGTAATGAGACGGTTTTGGGACAAACAATTATCCAACAGGACGGTTTCGGTTTTATGTATACCCGTCCCCCTTTGAATCTCTAGACAGTACTCCGTATAAAGTTTTGGCGGTGTGTGAAAGTGACTGATAAAGGGCTGCCCATGAAGAATCTTCTATCACTGACAACTTCATATTCTTACTTGTAATAGACTTCCAAGTCCGTATAGAAAATCAACTGTATTGCCAATTTTATCCCCATCCAACTTCCACACTCCACTACACGGTTAACGTCAAAGAATAAAACTCGGCGCCCAGCGGCGGCTATTTCCGTTCCCTATATCCTCTTTTCCCTTCCTTCTCCGGCGGATATCCGGCTCTCCGTCCCCGGAATCCATAAACCCCAAAATAATCAAATCAAATAATACTCGCCGCCAATTCAAAGAATCTGTTTCGAATTCCCAAATCAAATGTACAGATCTGGAGCTGTAATGGCGTGGAACGTCTTCAAGTTCTGCACGGCGCTTCGTGGTCTGGGCTCGATCATGATCCTTTTGGTCCTCGGCGTTGTCGGTGTAACTTATTATGCTGTGGTCATCACCAATTACGGACCGATCCTTGCCAGCGGCGGAGGCGTTTCCCAGACCCTTATCGCTCTAATTGTGCTCCTGCTTTTTCATGGCTTGGTAACTCGCGCCACCCTTGTTGTTGACTTACTGTTTTTAGCCCGTAATTAGTCATTTCTATTCTTCCAGCTAAGCAAATGAGCCATTAATTAGAGTAAATTCTTTTCTCCCTTCATTGTACGGTGAAACTGAGCTACTTTGGAGGGGTTAGAGGTCGATTGCGTACCGGTCTTCTTAGTCTTAAAAGCTCTAGCTCAGCAAAATTTAGACAAGCTTCTTTTTGCTGGCTGTGATTGTCCGATATTCAGAATGTCTTATTAGTTATTATTTTAAATTAATCTCACCTTGAACTGTTCTTGAAGAGATCGGCCACATAAAAAAAGAAATAATGCCAAAAAATGACTTTTAAGACAGTGGCCATAATAGTATATCTGCAGCAACGATAGTGACCATTCAGATCCTCAATTGTAGTTTTCCAGTGATTAGTGACCATGTAGACCAGACTTTGGTTCATGAGTTCTATTTTAGTACGCAATGCTTTAGGGAAAACTCCTCAAATTGTTTCTTGATGTAGCCTGAACTTTTGATCATGTAAGTTTACCTTCATGATAATTTGAAATCTTAAGATTTTTCTGTAAAAGTTATGAAAAGCGTTGACTCAGATGCTGAAAAGGTATGATGAAACTATGCTCTTCTGTAATCGATGCAGCTGGTGATGCTACTATGGAGTTACTTTTCTGTTGTTTTTACGGATCCCGGTAGTGTGCCTCCCAATTGGAGGTCAGCATCGGATGAAGAAATGGGGGAGAGCGAGCCCTTGGCTGCATCAGATTTTGGCAGCTCACCAGCTGATCTTCCACAACAAAGAGCCCGGTTCTGTAGGAAGTGCAACCAGATGAAGCCACCTAGATGCCACCATTGTTCTGTTTGTGAGTTCCTTATTGAGCAGGTCTTCTCGATGTTTAACTCTGCTTTATTTTCCTCGTTTTCTCCGTAACAGTTTGCTCTGATTGGTTACCTAGGTGGCCACTGTGTATTAAAAATGGATCACCATTGTGTGTGGGTTGTGAATTGTGTTGGTGCTTTGAACTACAAGTATTTCCTTCTCTTCCTGGTACGGTTGGTATTGTCATTTTTGGATTATGGAACAAACTGTGTAATTCTCTAGATGACTTATAAAGGTTTAGCCACATTTTTTTTTTGATATGCAAGTTAGAAGTCTTACTCCCGTTTTTTCTAGTTCTAATATGTGGATTTGCGTCACTGTATTTTTCACATTCGGTAGAGCTTTAAGTATGGCTGCATACATTTATTTCCCCATCTGATATTAGGTGATGTAGGTGTATAGAAATAGGTAGGAGTATGCATTCCTGACTTTTTCTGTGGTATTTTGATGAGATTTCTCCCTTTTGTCTCTTCTTACTTGGGCAATTACTATGATGAATGGATGCCATTTGGTTTCCAATATCATAAAGCTGAATAAATATACTTGTATACAATAAGTTATCTATGGTCTGATCTATATTTCATTTGTTAAAATATCCCTTCTCCCTTTATCATAAAAATATGGAGATCATTATACATAAACATAGATCTTTTAAGGGTCCATGTTGTGTTTAAAAGTTTTTCGTTTTTTTACATCCAATACTCCAATACTCATCATCCCTAACCAAGCTTAATCTATTCCTCTTTGTTTGTGCAGTTTTACACATTTCTTGAGACAACCCTTGTGACATTATCATTACTGCCCGACTTTATTGCGTTCTTCACTGATGAAGAGGAGATACCTGGTACTCCAGGCACCCTTGCAACAACTTTCCTTGCTTTTGGTAAGGTGTTTGAATCTTTTATTTGAATCTTTATTTGCACTCAGATCATACCGCCTTAGAAAACGCATTAACAATTGTCATGTGTTAACAGTGTTGAACCTGGCTTTTGCTTTGAGTGTTTTCGGGTTTCTGATTATGCACATGTCATTGGTCTCGGGGAATACCACAACTATTGAGGTAATATTTTATAGCTTCTACTCTGTATGTTTTAATGTGGATATAGTTTTTCACTTTTTCATATGCCTATAATTTGAAACATCCACAATCCACTTTCTATGTCCTCCTTTTCATGTTGTAAAGTTTAAAAAGGAACTCATAGTCCTTGATAATTGATGTGAAATGTTAGATCGACTCATTGAATAAGGGTGAAAACTAATATCGTTTGAAGAAAGCTCTTCTTATCATTTTCTGGACTACATCAGACTATCAGAGCACTGTGTACCCTTATTTGTTTATAGTAGTATTTATTATTAATCATATGATGAGTAAGGTATCCAAATATATATACAACTTTAAAAGAAGTTATCCTATTTTATTTTAATGAATATATTCCAAGATAAAACCAGCCATACAAAAAGAACTCTCCTTGTCATTTTGTTTCCTTTTCCTAGCATTTTCTGGAACCCAAACATGCACTTAATATCCTTGAGAATAATCCTCTGTGAGCTTACTTAAATAACCCGTAGTTGAGCACAATGGTTTTTCAGTTTTAAGGTTTTTCGGTTTTATGGTTATTGGTTGCCGAACTACCTGTAGCTGTATGGACTTGACAATTATAATTAAGATATTACATTGAATCTGATTTTCTCCTTGGGAATAACTATCAGTTGGCTGTCTTTCTTTTAGGCCTATGAAAAGAAGACTACTCCAAAGTGGCGCTATGACCTTGGTCGAAAGAGAAATTTTGAACAGGTGAGGTGACTTAAAAAGACTTGCAATTAATATCGTTGGCTCTTAGAATTGAAGCCTTGTATAGCTTCTGTCTTTTCAAGAAAGACTTTCACTTTTGGTCTCATGAGTATTAAGTCCTTTTATTCTACTTAAATGCATTTTCATTTTTGGCCTCAGGTGTTCGGGACGGACAAGCGGTATTGGTTTATCCCAGGTTACTCGGTAGAAGATTTAAGAAGGATTCCGGCCCTTCATGGGCTTGAGTATCCTTCCCTGCCTGACATTGATGCCCAGGAGTTCTAGGCAAACAGTACTAAAGGTAATCTCCACAGTACAAGTGACTACTGACCTTGTGATGAAGGCCCAACTTTTTTTGAGACTGGAGGTGCTGTGCATACCTGACCTGAGTTATTATACTTGTATGTCGTATGTAAGAAAACAAAATACCCGTGTTTCATATATCATGTATATCTAACATCAGCAGTCCCTTCTTCAATTTTGTGGAGATTTTAGAGTGTAGATTAATCTTTCTGTAACACCGCTACTTTGTTGTAACATTGTTATGATTACATTTTACTATTACTACTAAACATACTGAAATTTGAGGAGTTTTAATGGATTATGCAATTGAGTCTCCTGGGTCATATTTGTCACGGTGCTTTGGTTCGACAAAAGATAAATGTCTTTTATGAATATCGATTTATTAGTCTCATATTTTCCTATTCAATTTTTCTCGTCTTAGAGTTTTACCGAAATGTTGGTAAATCATCCTTATGACCTTATTGGCTATATGAGTTCTTGATGTCTTTTGAGGAGTACCATTGTTTACACATCACTTATTTGCTCAAATAATGAACCTAGTTTAAATTCAAATCAGGGGAAATAAACCACGTTTGAATTGGTAATCGGAACAAGGATAGTGGGTTGCTAAATAAGATGTCAACATTTATTAATGTACAAAAATTATTGGGATCAATAATATATTACGAAGTAATGCGTAGGCTGTAATCTCTCTATAAACCGGTATATATAAATATATAATCACTCTTTATCCATCATTTGTGATTATATATTAACACATAGGCTGAAATCTCTCTATACACCGGTGTATAGTCACTCTCTGTAACCATTTGTGATCAAAGCTCAATTTAGACTCTCTTGTGTATTCATACATAATATATAGACATCAGGAGCATAATTTTCTAACAAAAATGAGTATCACCACTGCAAGTGAATATACCAGACTATCTTGTCTCCTAATATACTTCGTACAAGTTAGTACTAATAATAAAAATGCACCCATAAACGTAGCTACACTATATCGAGTATAGTCTTGCACAACAAACTAAAAACATTATTTCTTTTGTCCCGTTAAAATTGTTCTATGTTTTCTTTTCAATCCGTCCACCTAAAATTGTCTCATATCATATTTAATAAAATTTGTACGATTATAAATTATACTTTATTCGTACTTTCTTAATTCAATATCAACCATACAATATCATTTTTGTTAATAATAGTATCAGTTCTTAAAAAGCAACAAAAGAAGCATGTAGGGCCGGTGCATCGATTGACGATCACAAATATGGACTGTGATGTATCTACATGATCTATCTCTAACTTAATTGGTCATATGGGGATGCAAAACTTTGTGCATTGAAGCACATGCCGTGATTAGTCTCTGAATCAGGTAAAAGTCTCTCAACGGTCAACATATCTTCTCTGGCCGGATCATAGACAAGGACTCTGTTATCATTGTATTTCATAAGCACTTTTCCATTCTTTTCTAGAGAGAAAAAAGTGAATTTGTACAAATAATGCCAACCAAATTTGGACAAAGAGACATCAAATGCTCTAAACCAAGACTCTCCATTTCCATATTCTTTCATAGTCAAAACCTGAACCGTCTGTGTGTTGGTATCCAAACGAGCCATGGAAAGGCAATCGTTTACAATTCTCATACCAACTATCCAGTCCTCCTCCTTGTGATGACACGGTTCGGGAGAGGGTAATATTTTGAACGCATCATTCACGGGATCAAAATAAGCAATCTTATTATTGCAATGTCTATGGATATTCCTAATCTGAGGCCGGAGTTCGTGAGATACCGACCAATAAAATGTATTGCGAAAGTTGACGCCGCTTCCCAGAGAATGCACTCCGTGAGGAAACACCAAAGCCTTGCACACATTGCTTTTCAAGCATGCAAAACTCACAGAGAAGGTTGCATAATGACGATCCTCAGTAAAACAAATAGGTACAAGGAAAACTTTGTAGTCATTAATGGAGGCATCGTAACAAAGTGAAGCAGGAAGACAACAACGGTCTGTAAAAATGTACTCTTTATAATTTATAAAATCGAACACAACTCTAAATCACCTTGTAAGTGGGTTCCACTGTTAGAAAAACAGAGTAATGGATATTATGGATGGACAGAGACACAAGAATATGTCTGCAATATATTTCAGATTGCTGCACTCATCTCAAATGAAGATTACATCATTACTTTTATACTACTAAAACTAAAACAAACTTCACGTTAAAGTAGGGATCATATCCCACAACTGAATAACTATTTCCTAATAAAATTGAACCACACACTGACACACCCACTAATTAATTGACTCCTAAAAGTACTCCAACTAACACTTTGACTCAATAAACTCAAACTGCATATAGTACGGAATATATATATTTTTGAATCAAATCCCAACACCCCCCCGATTCAAAAACATCCACTCCTAACAAAGACACAAAGAACCGGTGCTTGGCTTGAGGAAGTGACTTTGTAAAGGTGTCTGCAACCCGCTCATTTGTACCACAGAACTTCAGATTGATCTTCCCGTCAGCTACTAAATCACGAATGAAGTGGTGTTGCACATCTATATGCCTTGTCCTGCTATGGAAAGCTGGATTTTTCGCCATTGCAATTGATGATTTATTATCACAGTAAATAGTAGTAGCTTTATCCAGCTCAATAAGAAAATCATCACCAAGTAATTTTTGCATCCATAAACTTTGTCTTGCTGCTGAAGTTGCTGCTACATACTCTACTTCAGATGGTGATAAAGCTACAGTCTCCTGCTTCTTCGAGCTCCATGTTATAGCTCCGGAACCAAGGCTAAAGACATTACCAGAGGTACTCTTTCGGTCATCTAGGCATCCTTCCCAAATCACTATCGGTAAACCCAACAAGCTGAAAATCTGCAACTTTTGTATACCAAATCCCATACTCCACAGTTCCAGCCACATATCAGAGGATTCTTTTTGCGGCACCAAAGTGTTTCTTAGTTGGATTATGCATGTATCGAGACACAACACTGACAGGAAAAGAGAAATCCGGCCTAGTGTGTGTGAGATAGTTTAATCCTCCCACAAGACTCCTGTACAATCTGCCATCAGCATGCTTAGTTCCATCATTACATTGCAATTTCTCATTGATGTTCATAGGAGTAGTTGCTGACTCACACTCAGACATGTGAATTTTTTTTAGCAGATCAGTAGCATACTTCTCCTGAGATATAAAAATGTCGTCTTCCCTTTGTGTCACCTCAAGCCCCAAAAAATACTCCAACACACCCAAATCAGTCATCTCAAATTTTGCCATCATACTAGACTTAAAGTCATCAACTATGGACTGAGATGAACCCATATAAATTATGTCATCGACATTAAGACAAACCACCAAAAAGTGGTTACCATTCTGCATTACATAAAGAGTTGGCTCATTCTTACTCTTCCTGAAACCCTTAGACTGAAAAAAATCATCAATCTTGCTATACCACGCGCGTGGAGCCTGCTTTAGCCCATAAAGCGCTTTTCACAGCTTATAAACTTTTTCTTCTTCACAATGAACTGCAAAACCCTCGGGCTGAGAGACGTACACCTCCTCTTCTAACTCACTGTTAAGAAAAGCAGACTTCACATCGAGTTGAAACACCGGTAATTTAAACTGAGCTGCTACACAAAGAAAGACTCTTACTGTCTCGAATCGAGCAACGGGTGAAAAATTTTCCTCGTAATCTACCCCTTGCTGCTGTGAATACCCCTTAGCTACGAGTCTCGCTTTGTCCTTCTGAACACTCCCGTCAGAATTATACGTTGTGCGGAACACCCACTTGAGACCTATTATGTTCTTGTCTTTTGGCGAATAAACCAACTGCCATGTATCGTTCTTTTCCATAGCTGCCATCTCATCTTGCATTGCCTTTTCCCATATTTCTTCTTTTGCTACCTCTTCATAAGAAACAGGACCTGTGACACATAATGCAAAGTTACACGTCCGATATACATCCCGAAGGGACCAGAAGTGTTTTGGAGGGGTGCCGCTGGAGGAGTTTCCTGGAGAGTATGATGAGGCTATAGAGCTGCTCCCAATTGAATTTCCACCTGATGGGCTGATATGTGGAGTAAAAGTGGTACTACTACTCCCTGAACTACTGCTGCCCTCATGCTGCTCGTTAACACATTCTGATTCTGTAGGTTCACTTACCTCAATGGTTTCAACAGCAACCTCTGTCTGGTTATCACCACTCCACGACCACTTTCCACCTTCATCAAATTTGATGTCTTTGCTTACAATCACTTTGCCACTCACGGGATTATATAGCATGTATGCTTTGGATTCAACATTATAGCCAACGAATATGCATTTTTCAGATTTACAATCAAGTTTGTGACGTAACTGAGAAGGAACCAAAGCATACGCTACACAACCAAAGACTCTTAAGTGGCTTGGGCGTGGATTCTTACCTCTCCAGCTTCAAAGGGAGTCTGATTCATGACGGACTTTGTAGATGATATGTTCAGAAGGTACACCGCCGTTGCTACAGCTTGACCCAAAAACCTGTCTGACATCTCTTTTGCTTTTAACATACTTCGAGCCATCTCAACTATGGTTCTGTTTTTACGCTCTGCAACGCCGTTTTGCTGTGGCGTATATGGTGCTGTTAGCTGCGCTCCCTGCGAATACCATGCTCATCATAGAAAGAAGTGAACTCATTAGATAAGAATTCACCACCACGATCCGTTCGAAGTGTCTTGATGTGTTTGCCACTTTGGTTCTCCACCAAAGCCTTGAACTCCTTAAAGCTATCAAAAGCCTCAGATTTTAACTTCAAGAAATAAACCCAACTCATCCGAGTATAGTCATCAATAAACAATAAGAAGTAGCGACTCCCACCAATTGACTGCGTTTTCATAGGCCCGCACAAATCAGCATGCACAAGATCCAAAGAGCTAGAAGCTCTCCATGCCTTCCCATTAGGAAAAGGCATCCTACATTGCTTTCCATATACACACCCTTCACAAAGCAACTGTTCAGTAATTTGCGGTAAACCTATCACCATCTCCTTTTGATTTAACTGTTTAAGCCCCTTCATGTGCAAGTGACCATAACGTAAATGCCATAGTTCTGACTCACAATTCCCTTTGGCAACCAAAGCTCTAGTCAATCTATTTGACACATCCAGTGAGAACATATTATTTGGGGACTTATCAATATTAGCTATAATCTACCCTGACTTCTTATCGCTAATGACACCTGTTTCATTTTTAAACACACGAGAGTATCTGCTACTCATTAACTGACCAACACTTAGCAGATTATGAGCTAAACTAGGCACAAATTGCACATTATGAAGAAGTTTGACATCACTTTAAGTAGTTTTTATCGCCACGGTGCCCTTGCCTGCAACCTGAACTTGCTTGTCATCTCCCATCCGCACTTCACCATTTTGCATCTCATCAAGATCCTTGAATAAGGTCCTTGAACGAGTCATGTGATTTGAGCAGCCGCTATCAACAAACCACACACTATTAGTGACATCAGTTGGACATGAATGAGTCATGAATAACTTGCTTTCTTCCTCTATATTTTCTGCAAAATTAGCCTAGCATGCAAGAATTGAAGCTGTGGCAGTGGTAAACGTACATAAGTTTCATTAGGGGAGCGGCAAATGCATTAATGGTATCTTGGCATTTGAATTTTGATAGCTCAACTATTTAATGCATAAATCGGTAGTTGCTTTAAATTAAGTGCATTTTAAATGTTTCAGAATGGTACATAAGTAGTCATATGATATGAGCACAAAAAAGTGTTTTTCGCATCCTTCATTAATTCTAATTGAATCGGTGGCTTCAATAATGTAGATTGAGCATCTATATAGCTTTTCAGATTTTTCTTCAATTCGTTTAATTAAGGTTCATTTCGAAATCTAAAAGGTACCCTCATGAGATCTTTTTTGTTTCAACCAAATTCGGGAGATTCGAAATATCCATTATCAGCATGGATATAGCTTTTCTGATTTTTCGCTTTTCATCCGTCGAAATTAAGTAACTGCGTCGGCAGCTTATCCTTAAAGATTGTTTGGGGTTGCTTAAAAAAACACTTTTCAGCTTTTGGTTTAAAAAAAGTTGAAAAGATTTTTTTCAAATGACAGCTTCTGCTTAAATTAATCACTTAAAAGCTAAAAGCTGGAAGCAGGTAGAAGGGTGCTTTAAACTGCTTCTCACTTTTTCTATTACACAAAAAGTACTTATTTTACCAAACACTACCAACTTTTACTTTTTCAGAATCACTTTTTTCTCAAACACTATCAACTTTTACTATTAATCACTTTTCTCAATTGCAATTACTTTTTTAGTACCATTGAATCTTGTAGCTATTCAGTGTAATGCCAGGGGCGTCTTTAGCATTTGAGAGGCCCTAGGCAAAAAAAATTACTACGCACAAATGATATTGAATAAGATAAATTCAATAAATAGCACCATATGAAAAAAATTATTCGAAATTCATGATATAGCATTTTTAATATTCAAATGGATAAGTTTTAAAATGCTAATATATGTAAAATGCATCACAAACTTGTACTTGTAATATCAATATATCATATTGGCCTATTTTTCTTGCCTTAAATTAGTATCATAACATTTTTGATAACATTTACGTGGTTCTAATTCATTATTATTATTTACATTTTACTAGTCAAATACTAATTTAACTACATAACTTTATACTCCGTATTTCTTAATAAAATCTAACTACTCTATGTACCATACAAGAACATCATACTTTTCAAATCACCAACAAACATGCATCTCAAAAGTAGTAAATCTCACAAATACGTATTAACCTGTTACACAAAAAATAGAATTGAATAAAATAGTTGTATGATGAGATAACAATTATTATTATAATAATAAATCAATAAGTGGTTGTTTACTTGTTTAGCGTCATTAGAATAATATAATAATCTTATACTACGTAAATGAAAACAAAGTTCAATACAAGTGTAACAATTGGGTGTGAGACAAATTGGAACATGGGCCATAGCTATAGTACAAAGTCAACCTACTTGAAATCAGGCTTCGCATTTCAAATTGTTCGCTCTTTATACTTAGTTTTTCCCACACCGGTAGAATGAGGAAAAACCCTCTTTACGAAGCTTTATAAATTAGATTCCGCTGCCTACCATAAGCACAGGCATTCAGCCGCTCTAAATTCGGTGCTGGCGTGTTAAATTTGGCTCACGCCTTGGCGACGCCTTTAGAAGCTTTTTACAACACTGATATTAATACTAATAGGTTTTTTAATTTTTTTTTAGGCCCCTTTGGGATGTGAGGCCCAAGGCATTTGCCTGGCCCAACTCCCCCTATATCCGCCTCTGTGTAATGCCCCCACCCCCCACCCCCCACCCCCCAATATTTTGTAAAAAAAGATTTGTGTTTAGAGTCTGTAACTCGATCTTTTTTGTTGTATATACTTTGCAGGATCTTATAAAACAGGCTTGCTACGGACCACAAGATGCTAATTAATTGCTACCTATGGTATGATCTCTAGTGTTATTTTGATATTTATTTATTTGCACCAGTTTTTTTTTAATAATACTATGGACATACATACTACTCTAATACTCTATTTAGCTTTTCTAGCTATGAACTTGTGTGGAGCTGCTTATTGCAGGAAGTACTGGCTTCATCACGGATGTGTAGTTGAGTACTCAACCTTCAATGCTTGAGTGCAAGTTTTAAGAGGAGGCTGTATATGGGGTGCCTTTGGCTGAGTCATCCCAATTGATCTTTAGAATTGGTAGTCTCATTTGTTTAGATTAACCGGAATAGCAGTCATCCAATTGGCAGAAGTTGGATAATCTGTATAATTTGCTACTGAATTTGCTACTCCTAGAAAACAACAAAAGAAGCATGTAGGTGCATCCGTTGATTATTAGTTATACGCAGTGACGGATCTAACATGTATGTTTTGGGTGTTCAAAACTCAATTAAAATTAAAATGAAATACTCGTATTAATTGATAATTTAATTAGTAGAGGAGTTTTTCGACCCTTGATATCATTAACACAAATAAGTGAAAAAAAAAACAATTTTCCGCATCAATAATAAGTTAAGGAATTGAAAAACTTATGCCGCACCAAAAAACGCCAATAAACTACAAAAAAACACACTGTCATACCAATAACTTGAGCAAAAGAAATACAACCACTCAACAATGCCTAAACAAGTGTCACCACCGTGTCCCTCCTGATCCAACTCTTTATTCATCGAAAAAGAACTATAATTGCCAAGTGTATGCCTTCAATTTGTATATAATCCACTAGGAGACTAAAAGAGCATATCTCCCACATGTCCACTCTAAATAAATCATTTAGTTGTAGTTGGATACACAACGGAGGTTCAGACGAGTCCCACGGTTTGGAGGTTCTGAAACGCAGATGAGCTTTAAAAACTAAAAAACTGATTATACAGACTATAATAATGTATCTATCTGATCTCTATGAACACCCTTGAACAGCACCAGCTCCGCCACTGGTTATACGGACTAGCTATAATAATGTATCCATCTGATCTCTAATCTAATTGGTCATATGGGGATGCAAAACTTTGTACATAGAAACATATACCATGATTAGTCTTTGAACCAGGTAAAAAACTCTCAACAGGGAAGACATATCTTTTCGGGCTGGATCAAAGACAAGAGTTTCCCTATCATTATAATTCATTAACACTTTTTCATTCTTTTCTAGAGACAAAAAAGTGAAGTTGTACAAATCATCACCATAACAATCAAATTTTGGCAAAGAGACGTCGAATGCTCTGAACCAAGACTCTCCAATCCCAAATTCTTTCATAGCCAAAACCTGAACCGTCTGTGTCTTCTTATCCAACCGAGCCGTGCAAAGGCAATCATTTACAATTCCCATGGCAACTATCCAGTCGTCTTCTTCACGATGACATGGTTCGGGAGAGGGCAACATTTTGAACGCATCATTCACATGATCAAAATAAGCAATCTTATTCCAGGGATATTCCTAACCGGAGGCCGGGCGTCGTGACATACCGACCAATAAAATGTATTGCGAAAGTTGACGTCGCTTTTCGGGGAGTGCACTCCGTGAGGTAACGCCAATTCTTTCCACACATTGCTTTTCAAGCACGCAAAACTCCACTTCACTATACTACGTAAAAGTGTTAGTATCAAATTATTTTGACGCACTAAGACAAAGTGCTCGTCAATAATCAAATATTCACTATTTAGAAATTCATATTAATATAAATTGAATAATATTTTATACATAGTAATTTGATTATACTAGTATATACGATAGTATATATTACTAGAAAATCATAACCAAAGTAAGGAGTGTGTGTAATGTTAAAATCTCAAGGTTGCAACTACTTAAGAAACATCTATATTTTTTTTTATCACCAACACAAGCCAAAATATATTCAGATGAGCGGATAATCAGAAGTTTAATTAACAAAATACTCCTGCATGATATTCTCAATTTTTATAATCTTAATTCATGTATTCAATTTTGTGTATCCCAACTCTCGTTCTCAACTTTGGGAATCACAATTATTTCAATTTTATTGATCAATAACACAACAAAAGAAGCATGTACGGTACATCTATTGACGCAGATTATAATGTATCTATCTGTCTCATTTATCTCTAACTTAATTGGTCATATGTGGATGCAAAACTTCTATACTAATATAAAAGCAAAAGAATTTTGTGAATACTACTCCCTCCAAAAAATGTCAACATCAAGCTTTAGTCCTATTTTTTATCAAAAAGTATTGTAAAAGTGATCAGATGTGTTGGTAAAATAATAGCAAACGAAATTGTTTAAATGGTTTCAGAAATTATGTAGTGCGCAAGAGCTCGAAACAGTCACATGAGTAATAGTTATATTCATTCTATTGGTTAAAAGAAGAGGTGAAACTGTACATCAAACTTGATTAATTCGTACACTTCATGAAAATGTATTCCTATTGATTGAAAAGAGAGGTGGCTAATGTTCACATAAAAAAACTCAATGTGCATGGCCCTACTTTATTGGAAATTGGATTTTGGCCAAAGTACTAATTTTCTATTGGTTAGAGTGGGTGGTGGGAATAGTCCATACTTAATTCTATTGGTTGAAAAAGAAGGTGGGAATAGTGAAGCTTATTGATTGTTTCCAAATTCCTACCAGGTTGCAATGGGCTTCCGGCTATAAAAGCAACGTAGATGCAAGATGGTTTTCAGCATTCATCCGCATATCACAGCACTACACAAAAGCATCTTACCTTCCGGCAACAAGAATATCGAGAACCTGCAAATGATGACCATCTCTTGAAGTCATATTTCAAGATGAGGAGGTTGTGTAATTTATTTATGTTATTTTTTTCTTTGGTTATTATTAGGTTTGACCTGACTGTTGTGAATTAAATAGGTATAAAAAATTCAAGAACACATCCCGGATCTGTTTTCGCCAAATTGTTTGACTTTTTCAAATATATATTTGAAAACTTAAACGGACATCAATTTATAAATTTAAAGGGGAATTGCTTCTTTTTTGTCTCACCAGCCATTTAATCAACTTGTAAAAAACAAAAGAAAACAAATATAATTAGCCTATTACTGACCGCTCAATTTGCAAGAAATAATAGTATAAGGTCAA